AGATATAAGAACCATCAAGGAAATAATAGAGAATTTTCTAAAGTTGTGAAAGGGCATAACTGTGCTCTACAAAATGGTTGAACAAATACATAAACATATTCTGCTAAAAAATTAAATAGCAAATACTGAAAATGTCCTAGGAGAAACAGAGCTTCACCAAAATGGAAACAAATGGAAGACAGCCTCAGACCACTCCCTACTGCAAAATACCAGAGGCCCTGGGAACAATATCTACAGTCGTAAGTGAGAGCGTTGTGCCCAGCTATCCTAGAACCACTCAAGGACACATGAACATAGAAAGTATAGGAAGTCGCTCTCAGTGCAGGGAGTCAAGAGAACATGCCAACACCATTCCCTGCTCCATTAGGCTTCATGAAACTTGTTAGAAACAATCTTGAGCTGACCATAAGAGCAATCAAAATAAGTAAAATCACAGTATAAAAAGGGTAGCAGGAAGCATAAAAGAACTTAAACTATTTCAAATATTCTTCACCATTAAACCATTTTAAATCAAATGGTTACTTAATTTAACACAAGTTTTTAAAACAATACTTAAATATAAAAGAGAGCCACCTAAAATATATATTAAAAATCTAAGTAAGAAATTCAGAATAGTGTATGGAAAAATACCTGGAAAGTAGGCAGAAGGGTGGGATAAAGTACATGTTAAGAAAAATAAAATGGAAAACAGAGAAATGGCTACAGATGATCAATGAATAATAGAAAGAACACAAGTGATCTACAAAAATGAAAAGGGTTCAATCCCATGACTACATGAATAAATAAAATTTAAAACAGCAGTATGTTAGTTTTACTCGTCAAGTTAGCAAAATATTTTTAAATTGCAATGCCCTGCATTGTCTAGAACATGGTAAAATAAGCTGGTAGAGGAACTGCTGATCACATTTCATCTGCTACAGGTGAATAGAAACTGAAAACAATTTTTCTGAGTAACAGTCTGACAATAGAAGACGTGGAGTTTTTAAAAGACCACACTCCCCTTCCTCACCGCAGTATTCCACTTCTAATTTTTCCTATAGAAATAATACATACAGACAAGGTTGTCCACTGTAGCCGTTTATATGATGATATTCAAACAACTGGCAATGAATTGAATAACAAAATGGAGAGGATCAATTTTTTTTTAATTTAAGGAATTCTTTGAGATTTATAATGTACAAATGATAAATAAAATTTTGTATATTTGTGACTTACAATGGGATGTTGTAATATATGTATACATTGTGAGGATTCCTACAATCAAGCTAATTAACATATCCATCATCTCAGAGTCACCTTTTCTTTGTGTCTGGTGTGAATATTTAAGAACCACAATTTTGTTGGGCATGGAGGCACATGTCCATAATTCCAGCATTTCAGAAGGCTGAGGCAGAAGGATCATAAGTTCAAGGCCAGTCTCAGCAATTTGGCAAAAACCTCAGCAATGTGGGGAGACACTATCTCAAGATAAAAAATCGGGGACTGGGGATGTACCTTAGTGGTAAAATATCCCTGAGTTCAATCCCCAGTACCAAAAAGAGAGGGAAAAAAAACCAACCATCTTAACAAATTTCATGTATGCAATGTAGTATTATTAACAATAAACAACCACCACCATGCTATTAGATCTCCAGAATTTATTCATTCTGTAAAACTGAACTTTCTACATTTTGACCAATATTTCCTTATTTCTCCCAACCCAACCCCTCATAGCTACATTCTATCCTGTGCTTCCTTACATAATTTTTAAGATTCTACATATAAGTGAGATAATATAGTATCTATCTTTCTGTGCCTGGTTTGTTTCACTTAGTCTGTTTCCAGATTTCTCTAAGTTGTTACGAATGATGATTTCCTTCCTTTTTAAGGTTAATACTTCATTTATACACACACACATACACACACACACACACACACCACATTTTGTCCATGCACCTGTTGACATTTAGGCTCTCTATCTTGACTGTGTAGAAAATGCTGCCATAAACATAAAAATAAAGATATCTCTTCAAGATACTGATTTCATTTTCTCTGGATACATACCCACAAGTGAAAGTGCTGGATCATATAGAAGTTTTTATCTTTCTGTGGAACCTCCATATCATTTTCCATATTGGCTATCCCAGTTTACATCTCTGCTAAGTGAGAACAAGAGTTCCCTTTTCTCCATATTCTCATCAATACTTGCTATCTATTGTCTTTTTGACAATAGTGATTCTAACTGTATGTCTTCTTTTGAGAAATGTCTGTTTAGGCCCTTGGACTATTTTTTAAATTTTTTTATTTTGTCATTGAGGTGTTCATATAGTTTGGATATGAACACCTCATCAGGAGTACAGTTTGCAAATGTGCTCCCCCATTCCACAGATTGTCTCTTCAGTTTATGGATATCTTCTTTGTTGTGCATAAACTTTTAGGTCAACGCAATCCCAGTTGCCTAATTTTGCCTGTACCATTTCGAAAAAAATTCATTGACCAAATCAATAGCAAGATTTTTCCTTTTGTTGTCTTCTATTAGTTTCACACTGTCAGGTTTTATATATAAGTCTTTAATCAATTTGGAGTTGATTTTTATATATAGCATGAGGTAAGGGTTCAATTTCACTCTTCTGCATAGAAGTATCTAGTTTTCTCAACACCATTTATTATAAAAGAAACTGTCCTTTCCCTATTGTGTATTCTGGGAACCTCTGTCACTCTGTCAAAAATCATTAGGCACATAGGGTGTGTATTTACTTGGGGGTTCTCTATTCTGTTCCCTTGGCCAATACACCTGTTGCTAGGTAATAACCAGCTGATTTGATTATGATAGTTTTGCAGTATGTTTTGAGGTCTTTAGCTTTATTGTGCCTAAGATTTCTTTGGCTACTTGGGGTCTTTTGTGGTTCCACATGAATTTCAGTACCACTTTTTCTATTTCTGTGAAAAATATCATTGCAACCGTGGTAAGAATTTCACTGAATCATAGATCACTTGTGGTAGGACGGGCATTCTGACAATATCGATTCCCATGAATATGGGCTATTTTCCCGTTTATTTCAGTCTTTCTTCAATTTTGTTCATCAATCTTTTCATTTTCAGCATAAAGATTGCTCACCTCCTTGGTTAAATTTATCCCTAAGTAGTTCCTTTTTGATACTATTGTAAATGGGATTATTTCCTTAGTATCTTTTTTGAAGTTTATTGTTAGTGTGTAAACTGCAAGTGTTTTTTTTTTTTTTATGTTGACCTTCTATCCTGCAACATCATTAACTTTATTAGTTCTGACAAGTTCTTGATGGAATATTTTTAGAATTGTCTGTATCTAATATAATCTGCAAACAGAGACCATTTTAGTATTATCTTTCTAATTTTAGTGCCTTTTATTTCTTTATCTTGCTTAACTGCTCTTTCTAGGACTTCTGTACTGTCAAATAAAAGTGGTAGAAGTGGGTATCTTTGTCTTTTTTGATACTGAGTTTGGAAATTGTGTAGGTTTCTCAGAAATGACCTCTATTACATTGACATATATTCCATCTAAACATAACTTGCTGAATTTTTATCAAAGGATGCTGAACTTTGTCACCTGCTTTTTCTGCATCTCTATTTTATTCTGTTACTGCGGTGTATAACAATTATGGATGTGCATATGTTGAACCATCTTGCACCAAAAGAGTAAGTCCCAATAAATTATAGTATATAATCCTTTTTTGGTGCTACCATATATAGATGGCTAAAACTTTGTTAAGGATTTTTACATCTATATTCATCATATTTACTAGGTCTAATAATTATCTTACAGTGTCCTTCTTTGGTAAGGTATGAGAGTAAAAATGACCTCGTAACATGAATTTGAAAGTGTTCTTTTTTTCTTCAATGTTTTAGAAGAGTTTGAGAAGAAGTGGCAATAATTTTTCTTTAAATGTTTGATAGCAAAGCTAGTGAAGCAATAAGTACATAGGCTTTTCTTTGGGAGGTTTTTGATTCAATATTGTTACTCATGATTTGCCTATTTAAATTTTTATTTCATCATTTTTCAGTTTTGATAGATTGTATATGTCTTGGAATGTATCCACTTGCTCTAGATCATCAAATTTATTGGCATAAAATTGTTCATTTTTAATCTCATAAGATCCTTTATACCCCCATGGTATAAATGGTGACATTCTGCTTTCATTTATAATTTTTCTTCTCCTTTTTCTTAGTCTAACTAAAGTTTTGCTAGATTTATCTTTCAAACAAATCATAATTTTATTCATATTTCCAATTGTTTTTCTCATTTCAACTATTTTTTCTTCCTTCTCTGTATCTTAGCTTCCTTCTGCTAACTCTGCAATTAGCTTGTTCTACTTTTTCTAGTTCCTTTGGGTATTAAGTTACATTGTTTATGTGAAGGATCTTTCTTTCTCCTTTAATATAGGTATTTATTGTGAAAAACTTTTGAGAAATTCTTTTGCTGCATCCCAAAAGTTGTGGTATGTTGTGTTTCCATTTTCATTTCTCTCAAAAATATCCATTTCCCTTTTCTTTTTTAACAAACTGTTCAGGAGTGAGTTTTAAATTCACATATAATTGTAAATTTTACAGTTTTCCTCTTGTTATTGATTCGTAGATTTATAACAATGTGGGGGGGAATTAAAAAGATGCTGATTGTTTTCAACCTTCTTAAAATTATTAATACTTGTTTTGTGGCCCAATTTATTATTTAATCTGGAGAATGTTCTGTGTGCACTTGAAAAGAATACATACTCTTCTGCTGTTGGGTGGAATGTTCTATATATATATATATATATATATATCTGTTAGGTCCAGTTGTTCTATTGTGTTCAAGTCTGCTATTGCTTTATTGACTTCCTGTCTGGGTGACCTATCTATTGTTATAAGTTGGGTACTGAACTCACCCACTCTTTATTATATTGCCATCTATTTCTCCCTTCAGTTCCATTAATATTGGCTTTATGCATTTAGGTGTTCAAGTGTTGGGTGAACATACATGTACAATTGTCATATGCTCTTTTATTTTCAATATGGAATGCTTCACAGATTTGCATGTCATTGTTGCACAGGGGCCATGCTAATCTTCTCTGAATCGTTCCAGTTTTAGTAAATGTGCTGCCAAAGTGAGCAATGTCATATGCTCTTGATGAACTGACCTCCTTATCACTATATGATGACATTTTTTAATACACTGTGACAGTGTCTAACTTAAAGTCTATCTTGTCCAATGTAAGTAGAGCCACCTCTGCTCTTCTGGTTACCATTCACAGGGGGCATCTTTTCCTATGCATTCATTTTCAGTACATGTGTGTTCTTACCTAAGGTGAGTCTCTTTCAGGCAGCATATATAGTAGTCCACTCTTATTTGAAGTTTTGCTTTCCATAGTTTCATTTACCTGCTGTCAACCACAGTTCTACAACCACCCAACTATATCATCAAGGCTTGTTGATCCAGGATCATCTGAAGCCTATGATCTTCTTTCTAACATATCATCAGAGGGTCATTAGTAAGCCAAAGCCATGACACAATGCTTACATCCTTCACCTCGCCCTTCAGGTAGGCATTGCATCAGCTCACAAAAATCACAAGGGCAAGCACAGTATATTTTGAAATAAGAAACAACGTTCACAAAACTTTTACTAAAGTGTAATTATAATTATTCTATTTTACTAGTTAATGCTGTTAATATCTTACTAAACCCGATTTATGAATTAAACTCTATCACAAATATGTGTATATAGGTAAAAAACATTATATATTCAGGGTGTAGTACTATTCGTGGTTTCAGGCACTCACTAGGGATCTTGAAACATATTCCCGGAGGATAAAAAGAAACTGATGTAGTTGGATTGTTTTTTTAAAATCCTTTCAGCCACTCTATGATGTTGGGTTGTAGAATATAATCCATTTACGTTTAACTCTTAATAAGGATCTACTATAGACATTTTGTTCATTGTTTTCTGACAGTTTTATACTTCATTTATTCCTTTCTTCCTTTCCTGTTCTCTTCCTTTGTGATGTGACGATGTTCTGTAGTGGTATGCTTTGTTTCCTTGGCCTTTACCCTTGGTATATCCTCTTTGCTTTCTTTGTGATCACTATGAAGCCTACACAAAATATTGTATATCTGCTTAAAGCTCATAATGACTTAACTTTGCAAATAAAAACTGCACTTAAAACATTTCTCTTCCCATTTTAATGTTATTGATGTTGCAATTTACATTTTTATATGTTTTATATCCACTAACAAATTATTGTAACAACTATTCTATGAGAGTTTAAAGTATTTTATGCACAACTAGAGTACTTTGAGCATACTCTTACATTTGCCATGAGTTTTCTACTTTAGTTTTCATGTTATTAGTCCTTATTCCAATGGGAAGAGTTCCTTTAGCAATTCTTCTGGAAAGGTCGAATGCTGATGAACTTCTACAGCTTGTGTTTGTCTAGGAAAGTCTCCTTTATTTTTGAAGGAGCGCCTTGTCAGGTACAGTATTCTTAGTAGATTTTTTTTTCCTTTCGTCACTTGGAACATATCATCTCACTACCTCCTGGTCTATAAATTTTCTGCTGAAAAAATCTACTGACAGTCTGATAGAAGTTCCCCTATATATGACATGTGCTTCTGTCTTCCTGCTTTCAATTTTTTCTCCTTATCCCTGACTTAAAAACCTAGATTACAATATCTTGATGTTATATTTTAGATTTGAAAAGCTTCCCGAAAGTTTCTGTGTCAAATGCAATGCAATAATGTCCAGAAATAAGGCTTTTAGAGAATGATTGGACAGTGAGTGTTCTAACCTCATGGATGGATTAATCAATCTGATGGATTAATGACTTTAATGAATTATGGGTGGTAGCTGCAGGTAGGTGGGGTATGGTTGGACAAAGTGGATCCCTGGAGATATGCCCTTGGGAACTATTTCTTGCCCCTGGCCCCTTCCCACCACTACTTCCTAGCTGTTATGAGGTAAGAAGCTTCCCTGCCACACATTCCCTTCTACCATGAGGTTCTGCCTCACCTTGCACCCCAAGCAAAGCAGTCAGCTGACCATGGACTGAAACCTCTGAGAGAGTAAACCAAAAATGCATCTTTCCTCCTTTAAATTGTTTGTCAGACATTTTCATCAGCAATGAAACCTAACCAATACACTTGGTAAATACATCTTTTATCATTGTCTGAGATTGTTTGGCTTCCTGGACGTGAATATTCATTCCGCTCTTCAAATTTGAGAAGTGTCCTAATTCTTAAAAATCAAGGTTTCTGCTCTTTTTGTCTCTCTACTCCTTCCGGAACTCCCATAATGTATATATTAGTTCACTTGATGATCTCTCATAAGTCTCCTGGGTTTCTTTCACTTGTTTTCTTTGTTCCTTTGACTAATTTCACATGACTTATCTTGAAGCTCACTGATTCTTCTGCTTGGTCAAGTTGGCTGTGAAAGCTCTCTATAGAATTTTTAAGTTTATTTTGTTCTTCAGTGCTAGATTTTCTATTTGTTTATGTATTTTTTAATGGTGTATGTCTCTTTCTTGAAATTTTCAATTTGTTCCTATCATGTTTTCCTATTTTAGTTTAGCTGTCTATCAGTGATTTCTTGAAGCTCATAGTTATGTTTGAATATGAAGGGTTCCCAAAAAATCTCCAGTGAATGCAGGAAATCCAGAGGTAAGATGATTAGATCATGAGAGGTGTGACCTAATCAGTCCATCCTAGTTTGAATGAACTGACTGGGTGGTAACTGTAAGTAGGTGGGGCATAGTTGGAGGACGTAGGTGGGTCACTGGAGGCGTGCCTTAGGTGCAAATTCCCTGTGCCTCTCTCCTCTCTTTCTCTGTGTCCACCCTTGCCATAAGCTGAGACAACTTCCTCTGCTGGGCCCTTCCCCCACAATGTGCAGCCTCACCTTGGGCCCAGAGCAATGGAGTCAGCCATGTATGGACTGAGATCTCCAAAACCATAACCCCCAAATAAACTTTTCCTTCTCTTGTTGTTCTAGTCAGGCATTTTGGTGACAGCAATGCAAAATCTAATTAAAATACTCACTGAATTTCAAGATAATAATTATAAATTCTTTGTTAAAGAGTTCATAGATTTGCATTTCTTTAGGGTCAATTACTGACATTTTACTTTGTCATATTGGTAAAATCATATTTCCTTGATTATTTGAGATACGTGTAGCATTGTGTTGATATCTAATAATCTGATAAAGCAGAAATTTCTTCTATTTTTCACCAGTCAGCCTATTTGGAGATTTTGTGTGGGACATCTGACAGGCTCCACATGTGTACTTGTTGTTAGGAGTCCTTGGGTGGGCTGGCCTAGTGCTTCCGTCAGTGGATACACTGGCCTAGCTGGGGCCTCAGAGACAAGCCTGGAACCTGGGTCTACTAGGCCTATGTCCTTAGTTTGTGAAATTTGCCTAAAGCTGGGGACTATAGGAGTGGGCTTGAAGCCTGGTATATGCCACTCTGAGACCAGAGGCAGTCCTAGGCCACAGGTCCATTGATCCAGGCCTGCTTCTTGTGTCCACAAGAGACTATGGCTGAAAGGGTTGGCCTGGAACTAGGGTTGATCTAGTGCCTGGGTCCTAGATTCTAGGCTTTGAGGGCTACTTGGTATATGGACCCCCCTGAGGCCGACCTGGACCCTGGGTCAGTAGAAGTGGGCCTAGTTTTGGGGTGAGTGTGGAGCCTAGGTCTGTGGACACCTACCAAGAGACTAGTAGAGGCCAGTCTGGCATCATAGTTCATTGGGACAGACCTACTGTCAGGTCAACAACAAAGTCAAGTATTCCTTTCATTTTCCTTTCCCCCTGAGGAGGCTATCCCTCTCATACCTAAGCTATCTGGGAGAAGAAGGGGTAACAGAGCAATTTAGACTGTCTTTACTGCCCTCTCTAATGCATCTGTTACTTCTGTGCTCCACCCAGTGTTGTAATATCATCCTTTTAGTTCCTATGAATGTATTCTCATGTATAAACAATTGTTCAAATTGATTTTCTTTGAAAGGATAGGCACAAGAAAGCCTTACCCTGCCATCTTGCTTGAAGGTAAGGGATAATTTTTAAACTACTCTTCTAAATTGATATTTTCAAGGAATATTAAATGATAAGGAAAATGCTATAATATATAAAATCATTGGGAGGTAAACAGATACAAAACATTATGTATATTAATTTTCTAAAAAGAAACATACATAGTTAGCATGGTGGATCGCAAGCTCACAGTCAGCCTCCACAACTTAGCAAACCTGTGTCAAAATTATAAAAAAGAAGGGGCTGGGGATGTAGCTTGATAGGAGAACATCCCAGGTCAATTTCCAGTACAAAAAAAAAGTAAAGAAAAGAAAAAGGAATATATGTTACCAAGTATAAAAAGAAATGCTAAAAAAAAATAGACTAATTAGGTTTAAATAGTATTATCTGTTCTTTACATTATCCTATAGTGTGAAAATTCTCTACAATGAACATGAACCACATTTAATTAATTCCATGGTACACATTTTCTTCATTTTTAAAATCTCTGAAATTCACATACATCTTAAGACTGATGGCAAATTTAGCTAAATAGTATTGCACATATAGTAGTGAAAAAATAAAACAATAAATATTATTATGTTTTAAAGACACACATGGGGCTGAGGTTGTAGCTCAGTGCCTGCCATATGTGAGGAACTGGGTTAGATTCTCAGCACCACATATAAATAAATAAAAGTTTCATTGACAACTAAATAATTTTTTTAAGAAGATACAAATGGAAACGTACAGTGAAGGTATTCTTAGAAAAGAGGTATTCACTAATGGCTATGTACTGCCATTAGTGAAGGCAGTAAAAGTTTTGTTAATCTTGTAAAGGATAGGTACTATCTTTGTAAGATCTTGTAAATCTTCCCCCAAATGTAATTTTCCCTGACAGTAAAACCTTCTTCATAAAAATAAGTATGAGGCTGGAGGTGCAGAGCACTTGCCAAGCATGCATGAGGCCCTGGGTTCGATCCCTAGCACCACACACACACACACGCACACAAAAAAAAAGTATGGGGGAGAATATGAACTCAAGATACCCAGTTTTTTTTCTCTCTCTCTCCCCCTTTCTTTGAAAAATTAACTTTTGTGGAATGCTAGGTT